CTGACTATCATGAATTTGACTAAAGGAAGGTGATTGATTAATGATTGTTTAACATTGACGGTCCAGTGGCAAATATTACATACATATGCATGTCAATTACATGATAAATAAATATAATTATACCATTATGTGCTACATTGTACCTCACAAGGTCTAAAAGAAGATACAAGAAGCCTATCCGGAACCATTATTCTTACCCCGAACCAACAAGTCTCTCAACTTCATCTTAAATACTGCATGAATGAGAGATAAGCGGGAAATATCAATTTAAGATTCTTCAAATTGTTATACATAAGGGAAAGGATGAAAATTTATTGATTAACTCTTGTTTTACTGTTAAATATTTGAGTCATCTATGCAATGGACTGTTGATACCAACAAATTTGCATGTTCTTTATTAATGCATACTTCCTAATAGAATTTAACTGCATATTCTCTATATCAAAGTATTATGAATTTATTCATCTTTCTAGAATTTACCCACCATAAAAGATGAATTAGTGGAAAATTCTATATTTCTGTTCTCTCTTGTTTTATGTCATTATGGAATATATCATTTTTACAGAGGATGACCTTGAGGTCACTCCGATGTATTGCTATCGCCTAAATTTCCATTATGCAAATTAGTTTTGGGATTTCAACCGATCTATAAAAATTATAGATCCGCGGTCATTACAAGGGAAAAAAGTGCATTTTTATACCTGCGATTCCGTTCTCCGTTCGTACGATGTTTCATCAAAAAATGGAATCATTTCAGTTGTTGATTTAGTACTGAAAATTTGACTGAATTATCTCCTTATTAAATACGGTTTTATATGTTTAATAGGTGTTTAAGAAAGAGGTCAGGTGCTCATGTTCATTCATAAAATTATCGTTCATTCATGAATTTATCGTAAAATCAAAATCACTACACAGGTCACACAGGTTGTAAAGATTACCTGTATAGTATCTAAAAATAGACAAACTTAACTGACTCCCATTACTGTAGTGTGTGATAACATTTTGTGAGGGAATTCTATGTTTGCTATACCACTGTTCATTTCAACGCACTTTATGGCGATACCACTTTATCAATATGAATGAAATTTTTTGCAGTGTTTTAAGAAATAATTTTACTTTAAAATCGCGTATCATTTGTGAACTATTAAATATTTTACACGGACGAATTTTCTGTATGAAGTCAATAATTGTGTGAACTTTTGAAGCCCAAACTTTTTATAGCCTTAAATACGCTAATGAAAGATCCGAAAACTATACCCATACAGAACGACATGTTTTTGAAATTGTAGCAAAACTTTTGGTTGACAAATTTTAATTCGTTATTGCATAAATATTAACTTGAAATATCTGTCATTTTCTCCCTACCCAGTTTACCTCTATTACTCATTATGATGTGGACTTGACATTGTTATTGAATCTTATGCAATTTGATTGGATTAAGTTATTATTAGATTACCTTCAAACTTTTCATGCTTTTTCGTACGAGTATATTGATTAAATCAGAGCGTGCATGAATGTGTACAGAAAATTAAATGACCTGCAAACTGGACACTGGACCAGTCCATATTACGTTTTATCAATGAATAGATTTATTTTTATTTCCCAAATTACAGGGCCCATAAAGGGCATAAAATCAGATACAATTGATTTACATAATTGGTAACAACAACAATAATAGCGGCATATAAATAGATATTTAGTATATAAGCATTGGTCAGAATTAGATGAACGAAACTTAAGGTATGAAAGGTAACAATTGCCACTTTTTATCTTTTCACATAATTTTCCACATACACATTAGATAAATTATTTTTGATAGCCTATTGCGGAGAAAAAAGAGAAAGTTTACTGTATTAACGTTCTATTCCATTAAATACGCCATTTTTCGAAGATAAATGCAGAAAAACATTTATGAACGGCTACGCCAGGTAAAATTGTTGTTTATCCTAAAAAAAAATACAATTTTCAGTTTCATTAGAATATTATAATAATAATTAATCCCAAATTTATGTAGTCATTAGATAAAGTCCTTATATGTCCGATCTGCCTATTTTTGGACATCAAAAGACAATACGATCGTTTTAAGGTCAATTTCGTCTACCTCACGCAATCTTGTTAGGCACTATAATGAAATGGACCTGAAATTTATTTCACATGTTTCCTGAAAATTGATAAATATCAAAGCAACATAGAGCTGTTTGTTCTAGTTCGTATAATGACAATTTAATGTCATGTTTGTTTGTGATGACCCCCCTTTTCGGGATTGCATGAGAATTATAGTTATCTCGTATCGCATGAGGATGACACATGTCAACTGAGCAATTATGTTTGGGACTTAGTTTTAAGGAATGATGTCAAAGTAACATTATGAAAATATTTTTAGTAAGCTGAAATATATATTTATTTTTTACATGTTTATGTCTTGTAAGATATTTTATTTCTGTCCCGTTTTTCAACATTTGCGTCTGGAAAGTTGAAATGTTTTAACTGAATGGTTAATTTAAATTAATTATGAAAATGGTTAAAATTAAATCAATAAAGGAAATTATTGCCCAGTTACAAACACTACCAGGGGATAATCCATAATGATTTTTTTTTCAGTTATATGTTTCAGCACATGTATAATTAACCCCAACTTTAGCCTGGTAAACTTGTTGTCTCCTTGTAAAATATAAAACATATTTAAAATGATTTCCTGCTAAAGTCTTATATTGATATAAAGTTAAAACCGTCTTGCTTCTCACTAGTCAACACTCCTGTCCTGTCAGGTTTAATTCTTATATATATGGATGAAAAATAAAAGTCCACAAAACATTAACATGGCAGCAATTGCTTTTACAGCCTTTAAGACTTTGATTTTTTTTTACAGAAGAGTGTCCACCATGCACTTGCATTACACTATAATAATAGTAGAATAGTATGATATACATATAGAGAAAAATTATATATACATCCAACCGTAATATTAATATAATATATAACAACAAACCAGTGTATTCTCTGGAACTATTATTATATTAGTATAATAGTCTAAGGTATACTGATTTGTATCACTACAATATAATAGTTATTACGGTGAGGTTGAATTTCCTGTCATTTATTCATCATCCAAGCACGAACTTGTATAAAAAAAAAAATCTCTGTAAATTAACCTCAGTTTCAGGTATAGAGATGTGATCTGTTTCTGTGACATGTGCTTTTGACCATCCACAAGAACCTGCGGTCATCCGATGTTCAGTACTTCAGTACTTTGATTATCTTTATTTTCTTTTAATCTATAATTAAGATATCATTACGTTAAATAATTGATTTACTTGTAGTTTTGAAATTTTAATTTCTTAATAAAGTTTTGAATATATATCCTCTATATGAAGTTTGATTAAAGATTTAGGGGAGGTTTGCTCTCAATAAGTCAAAATAATTATTCAGAAATAAACCTTGAAATTATGTGGATTTCTTATTTTTTCCTACTATATGATGTTAAAAATCGGTTATTGAACATTATAAGATCTTAAACATCATTATCTTTTGTGTATTTGTTATTTAAAATACAATTATATTTTAATCTTAAAATGTTCCATTTTAGGGGGAACAAATATGATCAAATGTTACAGTTACGGTAATTCAGTAAACTAAGTATTTACATTTAAATTTACAATGTTCAGAAAGTTTGAAAGATCTGGTTTCCTAATTGAGTATTAATTAAAAGTTAATTAACGGTGACCACTGATTAATGATCAAGGATGTTCAGTAATGTTTTGTTTGTAGAAGTAAAGTGTTCCTACCCCACGCTGACAGTACTGTACTGCAAGTAAAGTGTTCCTACCCCACGCTGACTACTGTACTGCAAGTAAAGTGTTCTTACCCCACGCTGACAGTACTGTACTGCAAGTAAAGTGTTCCTACCCCACGCTGACAGTACTGTACTGCAAGTAAAATTTTCCTACCCCACGCTAACAGTACCATTAACTGTACTCAACCCCATGAGAGTAGTGAACACTATTCTAACTTTCTATAAAACCCCCTATTCCACCAGCAGAGGTATCACATTTCCTATCAACATTTCTTCCAACTACAAACATGGGTATATCAACAGATATTGCTCACAACAGCTTTGAATTTGAAGATTCCGGAAATTTTACGTTCCAGTGCAGTACAAGTTATGAAGATGAAAACTGTTCATCACCGGACTCGGTATTTGAATACACATTACCAACGGTAAGCGAAAACATAATAATTTATTTCTTTTAATTGTCCATCTATCACTGTTTACAATAAAAAAGGTTAAATCGTTTGTTAATTTTTATCAAACAGTTTCATTTATAATTTTAATTTGTAAATAGAACTTGAAGAAACTTCACTGGATTTTAAAATAACGGTATTTTTCTCTCTTTTATATTCACATTTTTATCCACATTATAATTAAATCATCATTTTATATTTATATGCTTATTTTGTTTTAAAAGTGTCATTATTTATATAAATTACTTTTTTTATATACTGCCAGGCTACAGTACATGTATGTTACGGTTGTAATGGAGTTATAGAAGACCAGTACGTCCTCCGTCTAAATGACCAGTCCTGGCATCCGACCTGTCTCCGCTGCTCACATTGTCATACCATACTGGATAACCATAATACTTGCTATGTCAGAGGGGGAAACATCTACTGCAGAAAAGAGTAAGTATAATATAAGTACACTTATGTTACCGTAGCTGTATTTGGTTAATTGTTGGGTAATTCCCATGTAGATACACTAAATTAATTGTTTAAAGTCGGAACTACACATAACAGAAGAAGGTTTTGGCTCCGTCTTGAAATCCTACATCTGCAAACTTAAATGATCTCACAAGCTCACAGTTTCTGGTTGGAAACTTGTAAGTCGACATGTGAAATTACCTTTTAAACCAACATTCCAATTTCTTTATATACTTTTCAACCATTTTACAATTTATATCAATATTAGTAAATAGTATTTGTTTTTGTATTTTCAGGGAATTTTGCATACCATGTTCCAAATGCAACGTAGGCATCCGGAGTGACGACTGGGTCAGGAAAGCGCGCGATAACTGTTACCACTTGGCGTGTTTCAACTGTGATATCTGCAACAGACAACTGTCAACAGGGGAACAGTTCACTTTACACAACAACAGGCTTCTCTGTAAGATTCACTATCTACAGGTGTTACAAGGCAATAGACTTGGTGATGGTAAGTGTGCTTATAATTTGCGTTTAATTATGATAAAATATGTATTTCCAAGAACATTATGTTCTGTTTATTTGCAACCAATCGTAATAAATAAGAATAAAAGAAATTAAAGTAAAATTTTTAGAGGATTCTAATCTAAATTCTGTACTGTTGAAGACAAGTATCAATTTAAACAAAGCTATAACTAAATAGATTAGCAAGCTAAATATATGTATCAACTTTTTCAGAGCGTCTTGGGAAACGTAAATCCAAGAGAATGCGTACAGCTTTCACAGACGACCAGATCCATATCTTCCAATCATACTTCGATGTGGAACAGAACCCAGACCCACAAGATTTAGATACCATCGCCGAACAAGCTGGAGTCGCCAGACGTGTTGCACAAGTTTGGTTCCAAAACGCACGTGCCAGGTCCAAGAAAATGTCTATGGCCTCTCCTGTTTCGATTGTCTCAAAAGAATCTAGTAAGTATACCTAAATTAGATCATCTCAATGAAAGTTTAAAGCTACATGCATCTGTATTATTTTTGCAATTTGTAGACATAATCGATGTTACCTCAGTGACTTTTAAAATTTCCTTTTACAACTCATCCAGTTTTCATTTTCATTTTACAACAGTCGTTATTTATACTATAAACATATCTAATTATTTTATTTTTTGTTTTGCAGGTTCCCCAGAACACAGCTGTGGGAGTTTAGATGACCTGACCTACAGCGACTAAAGCCTGATCTTTGGATTGTTACAACGTGCTAAAAAAGTGAACAAACATTTTATTTGTAAATAACTGTTATTTATTTGTATTTATATTGTTATCGATGATGTAGCTTATATAAAATGTATAAATAGAAATATTTTAGTTTTATTCTACATAGTTTTCCCTATGAATAAGATACAAAGATGTGTGTATACTTCAATGAGACAGCAAACCACAAAGATGTGTGTATACTTCAATGAGAGAGCAAACCACAAAGACGTGTGTATACTTCAATGAGAGCAACCCACAAAGATGCGTCTATACTTCAATGAGAGAGCAAACCACAAAGAGGTGTGTATACTTCAATGAGAGAGCAAACCACAAAGATGTGTGTATACTTCCATGAGAGAGCAAACCACAAAGAAGTGTGTATACTTCAATGAGAGAGCAAACCACAAAGAGGTGTGTATACTTCAATGAGAGAGCAAACCACAAAGATGTGTGTATACTTCAATGTGAGAGCAAACCACAAAGATGTGTGTATACTTCAATGAGAGCAAACCACAAAGATGTCTATACTTCAATGAGAGAGCAAACCACAAAGATGTGTGTATACTTCAATGAGAGAGCAAACCACAAAGATGTGTGTATACTTCCATGAGAGAGCAAACCACAAAGAAGTGTGTATACTTCAATGAGAGAGCAAACCACAAAGATGTGTGTATACTTCAATGAGAGAGCAAACCATAAAGATGTGTGTCTACTTCAATGAGAGACCAAACGACACAAACATTTTCGAATTCCTGCATGTTTTACTGTTTTATTACATTAGAACATGGTTAATTATGTTTTCTCTAATTCTTCGTCAATTTATCCCTTTCTGCACCCATTGTATAAAAAAAAATTTAATCAACGTGTGGTTCGTTTGATCTCAGTTCTTCATTGGTTAAAATCCGATTATGACGTCGAATTTTCTTGCTTTCCTCTGAATCTCCTATTGTGACGGCATGAAAAAAGGCGACCATGCCTGATGACGTCACATAGAAAGAACACATCTTTTTGCAGATCATTCGAAAAGAAGGAATACATTTGCCTGCGTATTGTTTGAAAATCATTAGAGAAACAGATTCCAAAAAAACATACAAAAAGCAAAGGAACAGCGCTTTTATTGCTGTTCTTCATCTCAAAGTCACAGTGAGGCCTTCAACACGGAGCAAAAAAACTCTCACTTCACTGCCAGTTTAAGACGGCCCCTAGCACCCGGCTTGAGCGTAATTCTTTGCAAAAATAATTTGGATAGACTTTGTAAGATGTAACACCAACCAATCGGGCCCGGTCGAAAAAGAACATACTGGAAAGTAGTACATATTTAAAACAAAATAGTTCCTACTCAAAGGTGCAAATCTTAAACTATGTAGCATATATTTTAGTAATTAAGGTATCAAATATCGTGTAATACGATATTTATCCACTCTCGGCAGTAAATTTTAAATATTTACAACGCTCGGCGAGCCTCGCGTTTTAAATTTGAAAATTTAACTGTCTCGAGTGGATAAATATCGTATCACACTCGATGCAGTGGTAGAATCTATATTTATACAATCTATTGACATGTTATAACATATAATCAGTGGCAAAACTTTCAATGAGGCAACCGAGCGAGGCAGCCTATTTAACCGAGGCAGCCTATTAAACAGCTTCCACCCCCAAGCAGCAAACTTGAATAGCCACCTCCATTAAAAAAAACTTTCTGTAATACGAATTAGCTTTATACGTTTTCAAGACATAATAGTCAACTCAAACACGCCCTAACATAAAAAGGTGCACTCGACTTTCTCTTTTCGGAGAGATTATTGCCCATGTTTAGGATTTTCCCCCATAAAACTATAGCCGGGGACAGAGCTGCACATTAATGCTTTAAAAAGATCAATCTATTATCTTTGTGTTGAATTTTTTTCGGCTGAATTTATGCTTATGCACAAAAAAGATCAACTTGTAATTGCACCTACTACTATCGACTGTTTTATGAAAATTTGTCTATAATTTAAAAGTTTACAAATTTCTCAAAGCTCCATACTATAATTTAAGTAAAAACACGTATATAAGATGCATAAAATTCTTATTTATGCACCTTTATTAAACTTTTATAGCCCATAGAAACAGATGTAAACAATTCAAATATACCAATTTGGCTTTTTTATGTTCTCTAACAAAGAGTTCCATTTCTTTTGTTAAATTTCAACAGGGTATCCGCCTGTTTTATGCGCTTTCAAGACAGAATAGTCAACTCAAACGCGCCGGAACATAAAAAAGGTGTGATCAACTTTCTCTTGTCGATGAAATTATTGCCCATTTAGTGGATTTTTTCCCCAAAAACTGTCGCCGGTGGCAGAGATGCAAATTAATGCTCAAAATATTTGAGACTTACATATTTTTGGTAAATTTTGAAATTGACCTAAATTCCTTATAAAAATAAGGAGATGAGGTATGATTGCCAATAAGACAATTATCCACCGAAGTTCAAATAAGGTGGATGTAAGCAATTATAATAGAAAAACAAAGGATATGGGGTATCCATCCATGACACAAAATCAGTAAATGCACAACAAAAACACATACAAAAAGCAAAGGAACAGCGCTTTTATTGCTGTTCTTCATCTCAAAGTCACAGTGAGGCCTTCAACACGGAGCAAAAAAACTCTCACTTCACTGCCAGTTTAAGACGGCCCCTAGCACCCGGCTTAAGCGGAATTCTTTGCAAAAATAATTTGGATAGACTTTGTAAGATGTAACACCAACCAATCGGGCCCGGTCGAAAAAGAACATACTGGAAAGTAGTACATATTTAAAAAAAATCGTTCCTACTCAAAGGTGCAAATCTTAAACTATGTAGCATATATTTTAGTAATTAAGGTATCAGATGAAAGGTTAAGGACTGGTGATCCTTGTAGAACACACGATTTACTGATAATTTTGAATAGTACAAAGATGTATGATTGAATTCTAAAATTGAGGATATATATAGCCTGTTTCTCAGATACGAAATGACTGGTTTAGTGTATCCAAAATTCCAGTAACCAGTGCAGTACGGTCTGATGTATAAATACAGGTATATTGATCCCGCTTCCATAAAATGTTTTGAAGTGGAAAATTTAACATGGATAGGAATGAGGGCCAAGAATAGGTGGTGTGCGTCTTTTTAAAATTTTAGTAAATAAATTGTCCTAAAATTGAGAGAACACATAAGAGAAGTTATCTCAAGAATAAATACACCATAACTTTAAAAAAAAAAACAGAAGAGCATACATATCAAGCACGGGGAAACTTTCTACGGCCTCCACACAGCACGAGAAACAAACTCCGTTAATATAATAGAAAAACAAAGGATATGGGGTATCCATCCATGACACAAAATCAGTAAATGCACAACAAAAAACATACAAAAAGCAAAGGAACAGCGCTTTTATTGCTGTTCTTCATCTCAAAGTCACATTGAGGCCTCAACACGGAGCAAAAAAACTCTCACCTCACTGCAAGTTAAAGACGGCCCCTAGCAAATAATTATTTTTTAATGTCTTTTTTGAAATAGAAATAAAAGTTTAATTTCAAAAACGGTAAAAACAGGGGAAGTAACTCTAAACACAATTAAGTCCGATAGTTAAATTTAATAACAATCATCATCAACTCTAAAATATTATTTATAAATACATTTTCAAGTATATCATTTTGTTTTTGTAAAACAGGAAGTGTACCCAATTCGGGTAAAACTTCACAAAGGAAAAGATGGATATATATATATGCTAAATAAAAACTTGAAACTTCGGACCTCGGATCAACTTGTGTAACTCAACTCGAGATTGGTGTATTGGATCAAAAAATCATCATAGTTTGTTACGTGTTTTAAATCAGAATTTCGACATGAAATGAATGGTTTGGGTCCAGATATACTTAACTTAATTAATTTTGTCTTATGTTTAACTTATCATCATGTTATGATAGACAAATATAAATTAGGCCGTTAGTTTTCTCAATTAAATTGTTTCATATTTTTCAAGTCGGGGCCTTTGGCCTTTTATAGCCGACATTTACGGTATTGGTTTTCTCATTGTTGAAGGCTGTACGGTTGCCTATAACTGCTTACATGATCCACTTCATTTTAACTTGGGTGGATAGTTGTCTCATTGGCAATCATACCACATCTCCTTTTTTTATATAGAATAGACACGTTAATTACAAGATTTATTATAAGTATTGTCTCTCTTTACTTAAGAAGTTATATATGGAAGAGTTACTGAAAGTTCTCTTATAAACATACACGAAGGTGCGGATGGGGTTTACAGAATAGATGGGAAAAAACATAAAGAATAGAGCAAAATGGCATAAAAAGAATAATAAAGATATGAAGAGCCCCATCTAGACCCTCATACACAGGACTTAGATACCACTTCATTTCAGCATCACAAATGCCTTGAACATTTAAGCTGTGGAAATTCTTTCTACAAGCAAATGTTTGCTCATCTTCACATGGCCTGATTATTGGTATCAAGGTATCCGTCAACTGCACCAACAACATTTGACATACCAGACATTGAATGGAAATTCTGTTTTATCTCTTTCAGGGTCCAGGGGAAAATTAATCTTATTGAGAATAGTCATGACGATTGATTCTGTAACAGCTAAAATGAATCGGCTGACTAACGACCGACTTATACCGTGTATATATCTCCTATCTCCGACAGGAACCTACCCTTGGCATAATACCTTAAAGTTGTCAAAACTTGATGCATAGGGAGGATGGCAAAGTTCCTCATCGTTGCTCTTTCCAGGTGAGAGACAAGAACATCAACAAGCTCGAAAATGCTCTGTCGGTCAAGACGATATCTAGATATTATTTCTATATCATTGAGATTTTCCATGATATTTGTTCTGTCTCGGAAAACTCTTTCTCTTCGAAGTGCTTTGCGTCCATTGTGTCTATTTCGATCTGATAATCACGAAGCTGTTAATATGATTTTTCGTTTTTTTAATTCAACGTATGAAGAAATGTCGAAAGAAGCATTATGCCATATCC